TCAGGAACATATGTATCACTTGTGGAGCGGGTCGATTCCAAAGATGACCATGTCATTGTGTATCTGAAGGAGGTGAGAGAACAGTAACATTCAAATGGTTGATTTTATGTCATTTTGGTTCAATCAAATATAATAAATCCATTTTGTCAGTAACTGATAAGGTTGTGTTCTCCTGCAGATCTCTAAAAATGTTGCAATGAATTACCAGATACAAATGAAACAGGTTCTACAAGTTAAGAATCTTAAGCCAGCTGTGGTCAAAGTGTATGATTACTACCAAACAAGTAAGATGATTTATGCTTTTGCTGAATATTTTTTTATCATGCGATGGAATATTTATTTAGATTTATTTAACGTGTAAGTGTACTGTGATATAAATGATTACATCCTCCATTTCCTTCAGGTGATCAATCAGAGATTGAATACTCCTTCCACTGTGAAGCACTGAAGAACATCAATTAATATTTTTCAGTGGTGAAACATGTTTAAGCATTTATTTGTTTAATATTAAATAGTTTTTCTATATTCTGGGCAAATTAATTCCCACCTATCAACCCAACCCATCATATCTTAAGAAACTGATTTATTAAATCACACACACACAAAAAATATTACATCATGATTTAACATGATTATTAAAAGTGTTGAACCCAAGTTATGGCGAGCTGGTTGAGTCTTTGTTTGTCTAGAAGCTACATGTTATTTTAGAATCTCCTTTCAGAATTAGATGTTTTATGATTGAATATTTTGAAATGTTTCATCATAGTATTAGATGATCATTTATGACTTTGAATATGTACTGTAACTTATCCTTTTAATTAATTGAATTAAACCAACAACAGCCAAATTATGAGCAAATATGATCTGATAACATGTGGCAAATCACTTCTCCACCAAATCATTAGATGTTAACTATAGTAACCTTATTACTACCAGGTAACAAAAATAAACTATAATTTTTAAAAGCTCACAAAATTTCTTACACCCTGATTTTCCTGCTGATCTGCAAATTCAAGTTGTCTTTACAAACAAGATATATATTTCATAAACAAGATACTAACTATCCCCTTAGCTGCTAATATCAGCATTCATGCTATGCATTTAGAACCTATATTGTGAATAGATTGCTTATTGTAAATGGATGTCCTATTTCCCCAGAGACAATTCTGCTATAGCAAACCTAATTTACGAGCCCCATTTATTTTTTGGCTACTATTTGATTTTTATTTGATTATTATATAAATATATTTTCAATCCTTTAAATGTAAGCCTTCAAGCAAATAACATTCATTCATTTATTTTTTCATTTGGCTTAGTCCCTTTATTAATCCGGGGTCGCCACAGCGGAAAGAACCACCAACTTATCCAGTACGTTTTTACGCAGCAGATGCCCTTCCAGCCACAACCCATCTCTAGGAAACATTCACACACACTCATTCACACTCATACACTATGGACAATTTAGCTTAACCAATTTACCTGTACCGCATAACTTTGGACTGTGGGGTAAACCTGAGCACCCGGAGAAAACCCACGCAAACACAAGGAGAACATGCAAACTCCACATAGAAACGCCAACTGACCCAGCCGAAACTCGAACCAGCGAAAATCATCAAAAATATTTCCTGAATGAGTACAATAATGCAGTCTATTTTTTACTTTAACTGAGCAGAAAACCATAATTATATCATTATAAAGTTTTCTGAAGTTATAAAACATTTATTTGAAATATTTAAAAAAGCATTTACTTTCTAACTGGTTTAATTAGCCAAAACCAACTGCCTTTACCTGACAAAAATAGTCCCCATGATAAATAAATTTACAGCTGTGTGTAGGCTATGTGATTTGGTCTCACACTGTTTCTGTTATAAGTGAAGGTTCGCAAGAGACAGAACTTCAGTTGTGAGTTCATTCAGCGTGATTTTGATTATACCAAGTTAATCAATAGCCACCCCTAGCACCATCAGACAAATGTTTTAAGAACATCATTAAGATGTGTAATGTGGAATGTTTTCTCTAGCAATAAGACATTTGAACAAAGCTAGCACATTTTATCTGCAACATTTTAAAAACATTTTAAGATTATTAAAATGGCACCAGATTGAACAATGTTCTCTTAGAAAGTTTTCACAATGATTTATAAAAACAAATGTAAGAATATTTTCAAAGTCACATAAGAGAAATGTTTTAAGAACATGATTTATTGTCAAAAACGAGACAGAAAGACAATTAACATACTAATTTTGACCTGTACTTTATCTATACTCTACCCATAAAATATATCAAATTTCATGTTCAAAAACTTATTGCAGACAAATAAGTAAATCCTGGTGGTTTAAAAAATAGTGGCAAAGCACACAGATTTAAAGTGACAATGAATAAGTATTTCATACAATAAGTAAAATTTGTATTATGTGTCAGAAAATGATTCTTGTTTTAAATTTACCAGATTTTCAAAATTCTTTTCTTTTTTGTTACACGTTATACAATGAGCACAAGAATGTAAGAAAATGCAGTGCTTTAAACTTTCTTTTCATATTGCTACAGTAAAATTAAATATTTTAAATGTGTATAGAGAGTGTATGTGTCTGTCATATCGTTACTGTACATTTTGGAAACAAAAAAGAAAACAAACAAAGTTATTAACAAACATGTACAATATTTAGAGAATATTGTCCTCACTTAATAGAAGGCTTTCTGGGAACTAGAACAAAATACCTGCTGAAAATATAAAAGTCTAATATTTTAACAATGTTACCCAATTAAACGGGATCAGAATGTTTTAGAGAACATTTACCTCTCTTTTAGGAGAATGTTTTGGGAAGTAAAATAAAACAATCCTTGAAATGTTATAATTATGTTAAAGTATAATGTTTCAACAATGTTACCACTAAACAGGTTTAGTGTACTGTTTTAGAGAATAATGCTATAAGAATGTTAGAATATAATGTTCTAAAATTGTTACCAGCGAATGTGGTTAGAATGTTTCTAGAGAATCTTTTCCTATCTTTTAAGAGAATGTTCTGGGAACTAAAACAAAACTACCCACCTAAAACAGTAATGCAACATTGCTTGGTAATATTCTCAGAACATGTAGAGAACTAAACATTTCTAGCTGGGTACCAGCTCTCAAGGGTCAAACGTGGACCACATCTTCAAGCCGGAATTGTTGCCACTCAACAGCTTACCTGATCAGCCACCAGGCTCACCTTTCGCTGCGGACTTCCAACTCTCTCCGAGCAATCATTAATCTTTCCAGTGCTGTGCACTGACAAACTTGCTGTGTGCAGCATCCTGTCTTTGTTGACTTTTATTCAAATAAACAGTCTTTGCTTTTACCCGCACTCCTGGTGTGTTGTCTACTCTAACAATGTTCCCTGTAAGGATTTCTGGTTACAAATTTTTTGTGAAATCCTGTAGAAAGTGGCAGTGCCTAGAAAAACAAATATACACACATACTGTACATAATCATACAATTCTGGCAGTAATTAGACTCCACTGAACTTGCAACCACATTCAAAGAAAGAAAAGGAAAAGATGAGATAGAGACAAGGGACTTTTAAACACATACTAATCACTTTAACAAAAGTTTATTTCCAAATTCGCTTACACATTTACTTTGTTTTGTTGTACTGTTTTACCACATTGGTGTTTGAGGCATAATTAATTCAGAATGCATGTTCCTTATAATATTCCTGTATGATTCCTACAGGTGTTTTGAATGTTCCCTGAATCCCTGTATGATTCATGTAGGAAAACTGCATGTTATTTATTTATTTACTTCACAACAAGGTACAGTGTACATTAACAACATTCCCATTGAACATAAATGCACCCAAATTAGCCATAAAATCCATTAGCTAATAAAGTTTTCATTGGTGGTCCTACTGTATGCCAACAACAACAACAATAGCTAAAAGCAATGTTCACAATGTTGATTATGAAGAAGGCATGAAGTATTCCTGGACTCCTAACGGAGTTTTGCCTGTTCCCTGGGGATTCCTGTAGGTTTCCTGCAGGAGTTCAGTGTAGAATTTCTATACTATAGCCCTGCATGTTCACTGTAAGATTTATATACTGTAGGATTCCTGCATGCACCTTGTATTAGTTACCTGTAGGAGTCCTACAGGAGTCCGGCAGCAGTCTTGCATGTTTCATTAGACAAGATTTCTACATGGTTCATATAGGAATCTAATGTTTTTCCTGTAGGAGTCCTACAGGAGTCGTGCATTCTCCTTGTTGGATTTCTGAAGGTGTCTTGCATGTTCCCTGTAGGATACCTGCAAACGTCCCGAATGTTCCCTGTATGATTTGAGTCCTGCATGGTCCATGGTCCACTCAAATTGATCAATAATTAGTCTTGACCACCACACAACAACATTCAACGAAGATGGCGTAGCTCAAAATAATCACTTTAACAAATTTATTTACAAAAATTTACAAACACGTTAGCGTAGTGTTTTTTTCTATCCTAACACATTGGTATTTGAGGTGGCATTCAGAACATTAACACAATTAAACAGAAGGTCACATGTGCATGACTAAATTCAACCTATAAATACTCACAGACCAAACAAACATGTAATCTCTTCACCATGTAGTAGAATCTTAATTATTAACAAACTTACCTAAACTTTACAAGTTTAAACAAACATTTATGGTAACTCTTTAATTCTTTGGGGGTTTTTGACCCTTGATTTCAGTATCTTCTGTTGATATTGGAAAGTGGTCAGCTGTCTTTCTTTTTTTCTTTGTGTACTTTGCTTAGGTGATATGTATATATTTTACAAATAAGTATTGAATAACAAATATAAACATAACAATAAATCATATATATAATCATTGTAGTGCAATGTCAGCATAAATAAAGCTTTAACTGTACTTAGGACCTTTTAGTTTGGTAAAAGCCACTGATTAGTAATGAATCATTAATCAGATGATCAATATTGAAATGTTATGAAGGACCTAGCATTAGTGTCCCTTTATCAGAGATAGTTTTGCTCATTTCATCACCGAGATCATGGCTCTGATTGTTAGCTGTTGTTTAAAAGGGTTCTTCCTGATCTTTATCCTCTTCCTCTGTGTCAATGGAAATAAAACAAGACCGTAAGTACCTTTCTGTGCAACATGATTAAGTTCTGTTTTGACTATTGCTCTTTTCTGATATAGAAATGACTGAGACAGCTACAAATTATTTTGATAGTTTACAGTGAAATACATTTCATCATATGCTAAAATGTAAAAACTTGTCTGAAATTGAACGTTTGATTGTCTTTTTGATAGAATCTTCATGGTGACCTTTCCTGCTGTGATTGAGTCAGGATCTGATGCCAAACTGTGTGCAAGTCTTCTGAAGCCCAACAAAACCCTCTTCATGAACATTTATCTGGTTCATAGTAACCAGAGCACATTATTGCTGCAGGAGAAAGCTGAGCAAGAGTTTCACCGCTGTTTTAACTTTCAGGTCTGCTTATTGTTTTGAATATATTCAACTATGTGTTGTCATAATGCATCTATTTAACACAATCGTTATTCTTGCAGAGGTTGTAAATACAGGACTTTATTTCTCACCAGGCTCCTCTAGCAGAAGCAGAATCAGTGCAGAAAATCAAGGTTGAACTTCAAGGAGAGTCCTTCAACATGACTGAAGAGAGAAAAGTCATGTTCAAATCTTACCATCCTCTGACTTTTATTCAGATGGATAAACCCTTCTATATTGCTGGACAGACTGGTAAGTTGCAAATATTATGGCATGTAAAAGATTATTGTGGAAAATTATGAAAATAACCTGCGCATGTTTATTATGTTTTAGTCCCTTGTGGCCACCTCAATATGATTTAGTTTTTGATATTATAATTTAAATGTACTTGCGTAAACTCACAATATTTCAATAAATGATTAATAAACAAAATGCAGCCACCAAATTATTGTGGATTGATCAGCGCCACCGAAGTAGCTGATTTACTGAGATTGCACAATTTTTATTAAGAAATTCTTGTTTTTGAAATAATTAGTTGTGTTTTATCTGATTGAAAACCACAAATGCAAATCAAATAAATAAATAGATGCATTTTGAAATCAGCTTTTCAGAATCTGGTTTATTTAGCAACTCCATTATTTTGCTGGATGACTTAAAAGGGCCAAAAATCTTAATGATTCTGTGGGTGTATTTTGCAAAAAGGTACATCAAAAGAAGAATATGTATTAATATATTGTGGCTCAAAAAGGAGCATGGGTAAATCTGTATAAGTCCGTATGGTAAGTGTGTGTGTGTGTGTGTGTGTGTGTGTGTGTGTGTGTGTGTGTGTGTGTGTGTGTGTGTGTGTGTGTGTGTGTGTGTACGTGTTTTTGTGACATACCAGGACACAAATCTGTATAATGACATGGGTATGACACAGGTATTACAAAAAGGAGGTGAAATATTTCTCACAAAGCTTATAAATCACACAGGGCTGCGTTTCCCAAAAGCATCGTAAGCCTAAGAAGTTCGTAGAAATGATCGTACGACTGATCTTAATATTACGGTCTGTTTCCCAAAAGCATCGTAACTTAAGTAGCACTTGAAAATCTTAGTGGATCTACGAGTGCTCTGGAGTAATCGTAAAGCCTTAAGTGCATCGTAAGGAGACAGAGTTATGAGGGCACCTGCTGGACAACCGGCAAATTGCACCTACAATTTACTTCTCTTCAAAGTCATTATTCATTTTATTTGTACGTATATCTCTATTCATTTATATTTTCTACACATTACACAATTCAATATACAAATAATAATGAATAAAGAAAAAAATAAAAATTACATAATAAATGTTAGAATGGAAAAAAAAATTACACTGTTGTATATGGACATTTCGAGGGTAGTAGGCTACATATGTTGTATTTAACAGAAAATATTTAATGTGATTTAAAGATGACACAAATAAAGGAGGAACTCAAAAAAATGTGTCAATGACTTGCTGGCGTGCCCCAAACCCAGCCATGTATTGAACATGTCTTGGCTGATCATCATGAATTCTCATCTCAACTTCATTCTCTTCCTCCACCTCTTCATCTTCCTCCCTGATGTCCAAGGGCACTCTTGCCCTCACTGCAATGTTGTGCAACATAGCTGTTACTGTTATTACAGCACAGCACTTTTGTGGCACAAAGAGAAGACCACCGACTTGTGAATAGCCCGAAAGCGTAGCTTCCACCTTTTAATCCCCCTTGTTGCAGTAAGTTTTGTAGCAATATCGTCCCACATTTTTTGTTTTTCTTTATTTGTGTGACTGCCCTTAAACCTGCTGAAAATTATATGTTTTTGTAGCTCCACCTCCTCTAAAATAATATTAATTTCCTCTTTTTGAAAAATGACTTTTCTTTGTTTTTTGGTTTCAGCCATTTTGCTAGTGTCTCCACCCCTAGGTATGTGCTTATTTATATTTTTGTCCTATTAGCAAATGCACATCAGGTGGGGATAATTAGGCTAAACTTTTCAAAAATAAATGTAAGAGCTTATTTATTTATTTATTTATTTACTTATTTATTTATTTTGATGTGAGATAAGCAATTTTTGATAAAGAAATTGATAAATAATTCTACTTAATTAAGGTTTCATATAAATATCGAAAATGATGCTGATGTCATTTCCGGCAAGGACTGTTAGAATTAGTTTTATGCGAGATTGGAGTAAGACAGTGTTTTTACAGTACGACATTTCCAGTTAATTTATGTTTTTAAACTGGCTCAAAAATATATATTTTTTTATGTTATTCGAGTTGAATATACATTCACACAAGTAGAAGAAGAATTATATGGATTGCTATAACATGTGCAACAATAACGAGCCATTCTATAGCGTGACATTTCAGCACTTAACAAACGGATAGCGACTCCTAAGTTGCACTTAAAGCTGGGCTACGTGCAATTGTGTTAAGTGCATTTTTGGGAAACGCACGTGAAACAATAACGAACGTTCGCAAAATGACTCGTAGAAAACGCTCTTAAGTGCTAAGATCAATCGTTATCGGGAAACGCAGCCCAGGATGAGTTTAATCAAAGAGTAAAGCTGTACACAGTCTCCTGTGATGGTTGGGTTTAGGGGTAGGGTGGGGTGAGGGCAATACAATATACAGTTTGTGCTGCATAAAACGAATGGAAACCTATGTAATGTACCCACTTTTCACAAAAACAAACATGTGTGTGTGGTAATATCTTTTGTTCAGTGTGTTCATTTGTTTCGTTTATTAATTCATGCATTAATCTCCTTAAATTTTAGACATGGCATATACTGTATGCTGTACAATAAAATAATGAGAAAAATAACTGAAAGGTGTTTTTAAGCTAAATATTGATTTTTATTTAGTTTGCACATGTACTTGCTGATTTATTTCATGGAATAAATTGCAATTTTAAGAGCAATTAATGGAATTAATTAAAACTTCATTATTTCATTCAGCAGAAACAAAAGTAAAGCATTACTCGTTATTCACAATATATACTCAATTCATTATTCTTTTGTGTGCCACCCCAAGATTTGGTGTGGCCTTACTTGGCCACCCCTAAAGAATTTTCTGGGGGCGCCACTTCTGGTTTGGCACACACATTAACATTGTTTTTAGTTAGTTTTGCTTTTAGATTAATAAGAACAGGGAGAGTTGTGTTCACAATGTTGTCTGTATGACAAGTGAAGTTTATTTATAAACTAATTTTGAGAGGATCACATGCTTATGACTGCTTGTGGCTGGACCCGCATTATCCAATTTACAATGCACCAATCAGACGGTTACTAAGCTACTATAAAAACCCAAGGTTACACATCACAGCTATCTTCGTTTTGAAAAATCCCCCCTTCCACCCCTACTCCTCCTCCTTCATGCATGGGTGGCACGGTGGCCCAGTGATTAGCACTGTTGCCTCACAGCAAGAATGTCTCTGGTCCTAGTCTTTACCAAGCCAGTGGACGTTTCCATGCAGAGTTTACACGTTCTCCCCATGGTCAAGTGGGTTTCCTCTGGGTTCCCCGGTTTCCTCCCACCATCCAAAAACATGCAACTTAAGTTTATTACTAATCCAAATCAACACCATAGACATGCTCCTACCAAGTACTTATCTCTTCAAAAGAGCAATTACTATCTGCTCTTCAGACACCATGACAAGGGAGTTCTCGAGATCTACCTGAGCTCAAACTCCCCTCTTGCCTTGCAAAAGGAGGGAGCCCCGGGCTCGAGGATCATATGAGCTCAGGGCTGTCTCCTGTATGCCAAACTAGCTTTATAATCAATAATCAGCTAAGTGTGAACTCTTGAATAAATGAATATTTAAGAAACCCTGATAGACTGTAATAACAGGAGGTTAATTACATTCTCAAACTGGTGGTTTTAGAAAGCTATTACAATATCAAAGTATTGATAAAACATTTGAAAATGTTAACCCAGAGTTTTAAACTTTGGTGATATTAATATTATCACCATCCAGAAAAAAACATGTATTGTTGTTTTTATTTTACTATATATTTTTTTCACAGTAAACTTCAGGGTTGTTACGATGGATAAAAGCTTTAGACCTCTTGATCAGCAGGTGTGTTTTATCTAATATCTGTATATCTCTCTCATTTTTATTTAATTCATTTTAAATATATAAATGCATTGTTGGCTGTTAACGTTTTTAAATAATGCACTTTTTTTGTGCTAATTTTGTCTTTTACAGTATAGTGCAGTTGTACTTGAGGTAAGAACACAAAAGATAGATTTAACTCATTATATAACCCATTAACAACACACAATAACTTTACAAAATCACTAATTCTGCTTCAAAGTCATATTTAAGAATGTATCTAATCTTAAAAATCTTCCTGAAGATGAAAACTTTACACACAGCAGACTTTTTTTTTTTTTCATTTTTCATTTAGGGGTGAAAAGAAATTTGGGTGCCACTTTATATTGTCACATATTTGTGAACTTACACTGTAACTAGATGTGTAAGTAATATGTAACTACAGTGTATGTACACACTGGTACATAGTATTTACTTGTGTAATACTGGTGTAACTACACACATGTAACAACCCAATGAATAGTATGTATAAGTTTAAATGTGTAACAGGACATTGGTAACAAAGCACTGAGAAGGAAAGTACACATCTGTGACAAGAATTATGTAAGTTCATTGCGTGACATGTACTTGCAGATGTTTTCCAACTTCCACACCTGTTTGCATACCATGTACTGCACTTGTGAACATTGTATAGCAAAACGAATGCTGCATTAGAAGGTTTCACCTTGTGATACCAGACATACATGGTAACTCCACATGAACTGTCGACTCAATATAAAATGTAAAATGGTCGCAAATTGCTGTGTAGCTTGTAAAAATATCTTCTATGCAACACTTTATTAACAGTGTACTTACATGATAACTCTTCAGAAACTGTTCATTCAATATAAAGTATAAAATTGTCACAAATTACTGTGTGATATATAAAACATAATCCTCTGTGAAACTGGTTAACAACATTGTACTTACATGGAAACTCTTCAGGAACTATCCAACAAATGATTAAATACTGTGTGTAAATAAAGTGTAAATTTTTTTTAATAAGTGTACTTCCAAAATGGTCGCTAACTACTGTGTAATATAAATCCTAATCCAACTCATTATTAACAGAGTACTGACATGGTAACTTCTCAGGAACTGTCCGCTCATGTCCTCATATAACTGGGAAAACGCATGGTGAATCCACAGGAATAGATTATTTAATATGATGTGTATGTGTACAGTAACTGTATTGCATTGCAGTTCCAATGTTTTAGCAAAGTAACAGAATACTGTAATTTACACTGTGAAGTCAGATTGTTCAGCAGAGTGCCAGCAATCACAAAAGAAAAATGAAAAAGAACAATAAAGAGAACCCAGGATCTATAAAAGCAAAACTGTCACATTCATATTTGATTTTTACTCTGCAACAGTGTTTTACACAAGCACTTTGAGTAAGCTATGAATTTATTAAAACAAGTTAATTGTTTACATTATCATAAAACTTTTGAATCTGAAGAAACGTCACAATAGAAACAGCAAATAAAAGGAAAAAAATGGCATATATATTTTCAATGAATCTGGTATGCTTTTTCTAATGTCATGGATCGGCAGTGGAAGGCACCTTCACTATTTCGCCTTCCCAGCCAGTAGTGCCACTGAATGAATTTCTAATGTTCTCTCAATATTTTTGTAGTCTTTAATTTGTGACCATTTTACACTTTGAGTGGACAGTTTCTGAGAATTAACTCTGTAATTGCACTGGTATTACAAGGTGAAACCTTCTAATGCAGCATTTGTTCTGCTATACAATGTTCACAAGTGCAGTACATGGTATGCAAACAGGTATGGAAAAACACCAGCAAGTACATATTGTTGTCACGCAATGCACTTACATAATTCTTGTTACAGGTGTGTACTTTCTTAGTGTTGTTAACAATGTCCTGTTACACATTTAAACTTACACATACTATTCATTAGGTTGTTACATGTGTGTACACCAGTATTACACAAGTAAATACTATTTAGCAGTGTCTACTGTACATACACTGTAGTTACATAGTACTTACACATCTAGTTACCGTGTTAGTTCACAGGTACTGTATAAGCGACAATATAAAGTGGGACCCTGCTCCTTCAACAGACATTTAACTGACTATAGAAAACTTTGCAAGTACATGTCAACTTACACTACCCCTAACCCCAACCCCAACCTAACAGTCTACTTATAATCTAATGAGAATTAGTTGGCATGTAGATGCAATGTAACTTAAATTCACAAACAGACCATCACAAACAGACAAACAGACCATCAAAATAAAGTGTGACAAATTAAACAAATTAATAAGTGACTGTAAAAAAATGATATGGTTGTTGCGCTTTTCTGTGTAATATGCTTGTGTTTATATATGCCTATTGTAGTGTGCGCAATGTTTGTAAATTTATAACCACCTCCGATAAATGTGGGAGTCGCCAGTAAGTGGCATTGTTATTTTAGGGGTAGAGGGCTGAAAAATTTGGGAACTTTTATGTTAGGGACATACTGTCAGGTAGTTTAGAGACAAAAGAAGAGACATTTGTTGTAATGGTGTCAAGTATTGTACAGGTCTTCATGCCAACTTATACTATATACCTGAGAGTGTGAATTGGTCCAATATATTTTCCAGGATGGTAATTGGCATTTTCTAACCAATAAGCTTCAGAAGCTAGTATTAGGAAAGTAGAAATAGGTCATTGTGTTGTTATATATATATATATATATATATATAAAACAAATCAAGGAAAGTGCTAGAGACCAGGCTCTGCAGAGACCTGTTCATTTGATGTGGAACTTCATGTCATTCACTCTTTTCACAATAATTAAACAACTGCGCTCATTAAACAGGACAGTCAAGATAACAGGATTGGTCAATGGACAAATGTTTCCTCAACAAGGTGGATTTTGCAGCGTTCTTATGATTTAAACCCAGAGGCCCGTGAAGGCACGTACAAAGTGAAGGCTTTCATTGGGGAAAGGATGATCTCACATGATTTTGATGTGAAAAAATATGGTAAGGCAATTTGCAATAAAATGTTGGTTTATTTTTATGCAAATGGAAAACTCCAAATTTCTGTCATCTGATTTGCAGTTTTGCCTAAGTTTGGAGTTTTTGTGATTTCACCAAATCCTGTGAGCATAGATGATGAGTTCATGGTCATTGAGGTTTGCGGAAAGTAAGTAGCATTTTAAAAGCAGAAAAATTTTGTTGATTTTAACCATGTCCAATTTTCTTGAACATTTTCAATAGATACACTTACGGGAAGCCTGTACTTGGTAAATCATCTGTGAAAGTGTGCCGTAAAACTCTTGACACTCACAGTCCACTGTGTGTAAAAGAAAGCACAGAGGTTTGTCGGTTTCACTGTTTGTACCAAACCTGCTTTTTATTTAAAAGTTGTATTTTTACAATACTTCTACAATAGTTTATGTTCCTTGCTTTTCCATTTCTACTAGATAAGTAAAACAGGCTGTGCCAACCATACCTTAGCTTTGTCTGTCTTTTTTTACCCAACACATCATCAACTGCTAAATGATCTTCATATTGAAGCTACAATAACAGAAGAAGAAACAGGTGAGCTTTTGTTTTTTGGACTGAAAGGAGTTTTACAACCTGAAACGCAAGTTTCACACTCATCTAAATGTATTCCACAGAGATCACCATGACACAATCTAACACAATATCTCTCACTTATGAAATTGGCAAAGTCACATTTACTGACCTGCCCAAAACATATGAATATGGATCAGTCATAGAGGGAAAAGTAAGTCAATATTTTGTCAGATTAACAAGACAATTACAATTTCAATTTCATTCTTTTTTATTATTATTATTAGGTCAAACTGGCAAGATTCAGGGGAACAGCAGTTCCAGGCAAACACATTTATATATTAGAAAATTACAGCTGGCCACCTAAAGTGCTCCTGAATCTTACTACAGACAGCAATGGACTGGCAAACTTCTCTCTTAATACATTGCGTTTTGTAAAAAGTGATATTAATCTGATGGTATTTTTTAACTTTACATTCACGTTTTTAAATTTTTTTTAATGGTTCAGTAGATACTGTAAAGCCATTTCTTGTTCTTGTATTTCCAGGCAAGTGCGTATCCAGGCTATCGTTCTTATTTTCAAAAATCTCCCTACTTCAATACGGATGAAAAAACTGTGCAGTTTTTTCCCAAACCTGCTGCTTCATACACCCCAACATTTAGTGAACTCATTATAGAAAATATTGAGCAGCCATTAAAGTGTGGCACTGAGATTACAGCCACTGTCAAGTATTATTTTGTTAAAGAGACCGTTAAAATTTTCAATGCTGACATTGTCTATATGGTGAGTACATGTGCTCATTCTTACAGTGATGACTTAAGTTAACATTAATTGACTGCACTGGTCAGTTTATAGCAGTGTTGTCTGTCTGTTTCAGGTCTTGTCCAGAGGAGTGATCATTCATCATGGATATGAGAAGGTTGAAGTGAAGTCTTCTAATGCAGTAGCAAGTGGCACAATGTCCTTCAAACTGTCTGTTGGTGCAGATGTGGCTCCTTTAGTGCAGATTCTGGCATACTGTGTCCTGCCAAGTGAAAATATTGCTATTCATAGTGAAAACTTTCATGTTGAAAAGTGTTTAAAAAATAAGGTAAAACACATTTGCACTTTTGAGCTAGTTTCACACGAGAAACAAAATGTCAAATCCTGCTGTTGTCATCACAGGTTTCCCTGCAGTTTTCTCCTGCTAAAGCAGTTCCTGGTGAGAAAAACACTCTCCAGCTCTCAGCTCAGCCTGGTTCACTGTGTGGCCTCAGTGCTGTAGATCAGAGCGTCCTGATGCTGGAGTCAGGAAAACGTCTGGATGCTGACAAGGTGTAGATGCTTTAAGATTTAATACTGTTTAACTGCATGCTTCAAATGGAGAACATATTATCTCAAGTATTCTTTGATCCATTATTGTCTAAGGTGACAAGTGTTAAACTGTTAAACTTTTTATTGATTTAATGACACACAGACGGGGTGGCACGGTGGCTCAGAGGTTAGCACTGTCATCTCACAGCAAGAATTCTAGCCAATCTGAGTCCCAGCTTTGCCTGCTCTCTTTGTGTTCTTGTAGGTTTCATTTAAGTACTCCAGTTCCCCCCACAGCCTAAAGACACTGTAAGTGAATTGGATAAACTAAAACTGGCTGTATTGGTTCACAAGTTAGTGTACTCACAGTGGTAAGTTGCGGCTGGAAGATCATCTGTCGCATAAAACATATGCCAGAGTACTTGCCGATTCATTCTGCGACACCTGATAAATCAGGGACTAATCTGAAGGAAATTAAGTTAGTGAGGGCACGCGGACATGAAAAGCAGATCATCAGACTAATTGTTATTTTAATCCCATCACAGATCTTCAACCTGCTGCCAGTAAAGTATGGATCAGGGTATCCTTCCAGTCTTCCTGATGAGAAGGAGTGTTTTTATATGATGGCGGTCCCAATAGAAAACATCTTTAAATCTTCAAAGGTGAGAATTCAAGTTTATCATCATTGCACATATAATAAAGATGACATGTTACACAAAATGTAGCAAATGTGATTAATCACCATTTCATTTGAATCGTTATTGTTGACTGACAGAGAATAGGATTGAAGATGGCAACAAATTTGGCTGTGAGATCTGGAACTTCGACTTGTGAAATGTACAAGAAGTTCAGTATGTTTGCTATTCTACCTGTTGATTAATAAATATTTAGTAAATTCATTATGTAGGATTTTATAAGATCTATAAATTGATGGAAACCAGGTATGGTATTAAATGAATTACTCTGCCATTGTACATTTAAAGGGCACCTGTGGTGGTTTGGACAGACATATGTATAGGTATAGTGTATAAATCAAAAATCAAATCAAATCACTTTTTTTGTCACATCATCTGCAGCATGTGTGCTATTATGAGTGAAAAGCTTAGATGCTGGCTCCAGACAGTACAAAATACAGATGGTGCAAATACAACGACAGTGCAAAATACAGACAGTGCAAAATACAACAGCGTACTCCCTTAAAAAAAAAGAAAAAGAAAAAGAAAAAAAACAGGACAATGTAAGATTGTGCGATATGTGCAATGGATAGGTGTCCACATAGTTATTGTAGGCAGTAGTGTTTCAAGTATGGATTGGTTAAAGTGCAGTGCATGCTACATATTGATGGTGTGCAGAGAGGGGTATGGAAGAGTCTGTGTGGGGTGTGTTAAGTGTTCATCAGCCTGATAGTCTGAGGTAAGAAGCTTTCCATCAGCCGGCTAGTGCGTGATCCTGCGGAACCGTTTGCCTAAGGGTAGCAGAGAGAAAAGACTATGGCTTGGGTGACTGATAATTCTCTTGGCTTTCCTCATGCACTGCCTGGTGTAGATGTCCTGGAGGGAGGGAAGCTCACCTCCTACTATGCATCCAGCAGTTTGCACAATCCTATGTAGGCCTTTGCGATTGCTGCTGGTGCTATTTCCATACTAGGTGGTGATACAGCCAGACAGGATGCTCTCCACAGTGCAGGTGCAGAATGAGCGGAGGCTCATTTCAAACCTCCTGAGATGCCTGAGGAAGAAGAGGCATTGTTGTGCCTTCATCAGCACTGCGTCTGTGTGAGCCGTCCATGTCAAATGGGGGTGGGTTCTCTCTTCTCTCTTCTGAAATCAACCACCAGCACCTTGGTTTTGCTGATGTTGAGTGAGAGGTGATTTTCCTCACACCACTGCATCAGAGTGTGCACCTCCACTCTGTTGGCCGTCTCATCATTATCTGTGATTAGGTCCACCAGCGTTGTGTCATCAGCAAATTTAACGATGACGTTGGAGCTGTGTTTGGCTGTACAGTCATGTGTGTACAGGGAGTACAAGAGTGGGCTGAGAATACAGCCCCGGGGAGCACCAGTGTTGAGGATCAGTGTGGACGAGGTGATGTTGTTCAATCTGACCACCTGGCGTGTGCCTGACAGGAAGTCCAGGATCCAGTTGCACAGAGAGCTGTTCAGACCCAGAGCCTGGAGCTTCACCACCAGCTTGGCAGGCACTATGGTGTTGAATGCTGAGCTGTAGTCCACAAACAGCATTCTCATTTATGTGTTTTTGTTTTCCAGGTGAGACTGAGCAGTGTGCAAGGTGAAAGCAATTGCATCATCAGTGGAGCGTTTCCTGTATGCAAATTGCAGAGCAGGCAGTACAGAGCAGATGTGCTTTTTAATCAGCTTCTCAAAGCACTTTCTGAAGATGGGTGTCAAAGCAACTGGACGCCAGTTATTCAAGCATGTAGTATTAGCTGATTTCGGTAGGGCCACAATAGTAGTCGTCTTAAAGCATATGGGAACCACAGACCGAGAGAGCAAGAGGCTAAAGAAGTCTGTGAAAACTTCTGCTAGCTGGTGTGCGCATGCTTTAAGTACACGTCCAGGGATGGCATCTGGGCCAGATCTGGGAAAGATGTCCTGACGTCCTCTACAGAAACAGCGAGTGTGCTGGCGTTTTTTGTTTCGGCTGTGGGGGCGCGCAGTGTGCACGCGCTGTCCTGGGCTTCAAATCGGCCGTAGAACGAGTTAAGCTCGTCCGGGAGAGACGCTGCAAAGTTTACAGTGGCGGATTTGTTACATTTAAAGTCCATGATATAATTAAGTCCCTGCCACATGCTTCTTGCGTTATTGGTGTTAAATTGACTCTCTGCCTTGTTTCTTTATTAACGTATTGCTGCTTTGATGTTTTTCCTGAGGTTGTAATTTACTTGCTTTTGTTCCTCAGCATTTCTGGATTTATAAGCAGAAGCACGCACTGATAGAGCTGTTCGAACTTCATCATTGATCCATGGTTTTTGGTTGTGGTAGATACGGACATTTTTTGTTGGGACCACGTCTTCTCTGCATTTCCTGATGAAGCATGTGACTGTTGGCGTACACGTCAATCTCGTCATTACACGCTGCCCGGAACATGTCCCAGTCCACGTGATCAAAACAGTCTTGAAGTATGGAATCCGATTGGTCCGTCCAGCTCTGAAATGTCCTGAGGGTGGATGGTTCCCGTTTCAGTTTCTGCCTGTAAGCAGGCAAGAGCAGAACAGAAGAGTGATCTGATTTGCCAAACGGTGGGCGGGGGAGGGATTTGTCTGCGTCCCGGAAAGGAGAGTAGCAATGGTCCAGAATGCAATCACCACGCGTGTTTGCAGTGATGTGTTGATAGTATTTTGTAGTGATTTTCCTGAGATTGGCGTTGTTAAAGTCCCCTGTAACAATAAAAGTGTGCGGTTTCCTGCTCGCTTATGCTCCCGTACAGTTCCCTGAGCGCCTGCTCTGTGTTGGCTTGAGGCGGGATGTACACAGCCATAATGATAGCAGCTGTGAACTCCCTCGGTAGCCAGTATGGCCGACACCGAAGCATAAGATATTCCAGATCAGGAGAACAAAATGATCTAACTGGGTGTATGTTCCAATCATCACACCACGACTTCTTAATAAAGAAACACACCCCTCCTCTTTTGCTTTTCCCAGTAAGTTCTTTTGTTCTATCCGCGCGGTGCTTGAAGAACACTGAAAGTTCAACAGCTGTGTCTGGTACCTCTGCAGATAGCCAGGTTTCTGTAAGGCAGATATCAACCCAGGCTCATTGTGGAAATGAAGTCCCGCGAACGTTTCTGGAGACCGCGGAATACATCCCGGCGGGTACGTACGGCTGCAGTTTTTGTTTTTGCGAATCCGCGAGAGGCTGCTGTTGTGTGATTTTTCTCATCTTGAACGTCTCTTGCGAGTGCGGTTCGCACCCGCGCTGTTCTCGCGTCAACCCGCCAGAGGCCGCTGTCCGACTGACCGGATGATTGACTGCGCGACCGGCCAATCGGCTGACCGCCCTCCTCTTTCCCTGAACCCAACCAATTTTACCGATTGACCCGCCCGCTCGCTTGCTTCCCCTAAACCCGAGCAACAGTTTACAAAAGCCGTCCAAAAAAAGAAAAGCCCTGATTTTTTTTTCTACCACGTTTTCAGATTTCACCGCGTTCTCACCCTGTTATGAAACTTGTTCACTTAATTTTTGGGATTCTGTTTTTGTCTTACCTGATTGCTGGAACTGCTCTTCCCCGGACTCGAAACCGATCGATCGCCGTGGTCAACTCCTCCTCTCTGCATCTCGAGCCTGCCGACGTTACACGGTGAGCTGAGTGGACAAACGGGTTGCAGCGGGAAAGCCCTCCACAAGGAGGTACGCGGTCGGCCGGCAGGCATGAAAGGGAACAGCGTCACACCGCCCCGCAGCGTTCGCTTGAAAAAAATAAATGCAGCCGTACGTACCTCCACGGGACTACGTTTTCAGAATGAGCTTGGGTTGCAGATAATGCTGCAGTTTCTTGTTTCCCGTTGGAAGGAAATGCGCGCCCGTAGCTCGCAAAGTTTGTTGTCCAGTGACTGAACGTTAGCCTGCAGAATGGTGGGGATCAGAGTTCGAAATCCATCTCAGTCAGACGAGAATGTGTGTTTTGAAATGAACCTGAATTGGGTTTTGAATTGAACCTAAACTGGCACACTCAGAAGCACCATAATATTCATATTAAATCTTTAAAAAGGGGTAAACTATGTCGTATTGAGGGATATAAACACATCCAGTCCTTTTTTTTTCAATTTAACAACATAAAAACGGTGGACCAATTAGAGCGGTTTTGAGATTGACCACAACTCCTGACATAGGAGTGCAACTGAAGTAGAAGTGCGAGCGCCCAGCCACAACTCAGGACACAGTTTAAATTTCTGAAGGCCACAGAGTCCTATCTGAATAGTTTTATTTTAAATAACATGCAAAATGTGCACGTCTGGTGTGCTGTGTCATGGCTCTGAGCGGCGCATGTGGTGTGTGACGTTCTTTAGTTATAGTAATAGCAAAGCATTAAAATAATATCTTCAAAATGTTGAAGAAGATCTTTCTCTCGCTACTGGTGTTGCTACTGTAGATGTGGAACAAAAACTCATTACTGAAGCAGATTTTATGTTAATTTAAAGTAAACTAAATCTAATTCATTCAAATGTATTTGTCCTATACAGTACTTTAAATTAATGTAGTATGAATGATGTTCTTTTGGTAAGGATTATAGTTTATTTTAATAAATTTAAAATTTTAAAAAAAGTAAAAGAGATTGAATCAGTATTCTTTCTTATCCCCAAATTACTGTATGTAGTTTTGCAAATATTATGTTCTCTTTGTTTAGTGTTTCGGGATATTGGCTTAGCTGAAGATTCAGTTCCTCATTGGACTTTATTTGAGGAAAATGTTCGATCTGTCTTTCCAAAAACATGGCTTTGGCAACTTATTGAAATAAGGTTGGTAAGGCATCTTCAAAAGTCAGATGTCAAAAATGCAAAATAGCAAATATGTTACCCTGAGTCACAAAACAAGCCATAAGGGTAAATTTTTAGGAATAAATAGATTTTTCATCATTGTACGGTTATATTACTATGAGACAGTGTTTGGCAAAGTTATAACTATTTGAAATATGCAATCTGAGTTAAAATCAAAATATTGAGTATGTTACATTTATTCATTCATTCATTCATTTTCTTGTCGGCTTAGTCCCTTTATTATTCTGGGGTCACCACGGAGGAATGAACCACCAACTTATTCAGCAAGTTTTTACGCAGCGGATGCCCTTCCAGCCGCAACCCATCTCTGGGAAACATCCACACACACATTCACACACACACTCATACACTACAGACAATTTAGCTTAACCAATTCACCTGTACCGCATGTCTTTGGACTGTGGGGGGAACCAGAGCACCCAGAGGAAACCCATGCGAATACAGGTAGAACATGCAAACTCCACAGAGAAATACCAACTGACCCAGCTGAGGCTCGAACCAGCAACTCAGCGACCTTCTTGCTGTGAGGCGACAGCAGTACCTCCAGGTGCTCTGGTTCCCCCCACAGTCCAAAGACATGCGGTACAGGTGAATTGGTTAAGCTAAATTGTCTGTAGTGTATGAGTGTGTGTGTGAGTGTGTGGATGTTTCCCAGAGATGGGTTGCGGCTGGAAGGGCATCCGCTGCGTAAAAATGTGCTGGATAAGTTGGCAGTTCATTCCGCTCTGGTGACCCTGGATTAAAAAAAGGGACTAAGCTGAAAAGAAAATGAATGAAATTAACTTATTAGTAATGCATATTACTAATCAAATTCAAGTTTCATATATTCACAGTAGGACATTTACTATTGTTTTTCATAGAAGATGATCTTTACATTATATTACAATGATTTGTGTAATAAAAAAGAAAATAGGTCCTTTCAACCCATTCTATGTATTTTGGGTAAAACAATAGCATGCAACTTAAGATCCTATTTTTTGGGTCCAGGGTCACATATATGAATAGTTATGATATACCTTTTTTATGTCCCACACTAATATTATTTAATAAGTTTTACACTATTTGCTCCAGTGACTCTGGATCAGCCGAGGTTCCTGTCACAGTTCCTGACACCATCACCTCTTGGGAGACGGAGGCCTTCTGTCTGTCCTCCACAGGTCTGGGTTTGGCTCCTCCTGCTCAGCTGACAGTTTTCCAGCCCTTCTTCCTTGAGCTCTCTTTACCTTACTCCATCATCCGTGGAGAGATGTTTGAGCTCAAGGCCACTGTCTTCAACTATCTGTCCAAGTGCATCATGGTGAGATTTCAGACTCAGCCTGATCCAGTCAGATCAAATATTCCACTAATCACATGTGCTTGACTGACAGGTTAAAGTGAGCCCAGCTCCTTCCTCAGACTACACTCTCAAAGCCTCCTCTGATGATCAGTATTCATCCTGTCTCTGTGCTAATGGAAGAAAAACCTTTAAATGGATCCTCACTCCTTCTGTTATTGGTGACTTGTCCATTCTGAATCATAGTTTCTCAGTGTTTGTGTCTGCTGTATCTTCACGCACATTTCTTGTGATGCAGGAGTGGTGAATGTTACAGTCAGAGCAGAGGCAGAGGCGTCCCAGACTGTGTGTGACAATGAGATTGTGAGTGTGCCAGAGAGAGGACGCATTGACACCGTCACACGAAGTCTGCTTGTACAGGTGCACATCAAATGGCTTTCGGCAATCATATACATGATCCTTATACTGTATGTGATACTGTTTTTATTGTTTAATGCTGCAGGCTGAAGGAATCAAAAAGGCAAAGACCAACAGCTGGTTACTGTGTCCAAAGGGTTTGACTTCAGACAGTATTTAGTATCATAGTTTTAACTCTGTTGATCACTAATGCAAGATTCTGCCTCTCTGATTCACAGGGGACAGTCTTTTAGAGGAAATAGATCTGACTCTTCCTAAAGACATGATAGAGGGATCAGTCACATCCTCTGTTTCCGTCATTGGTAAAATATATTTACATGTAAAATCAAAATGAAATAGCAAAAATGTACATTTGGATTTCTAAAACAGATCATATTGCTAATCAAACTTTTGTTTGGTTTGTAGGAGACATAGTGGGTCGTTCACTGAAAAAACTTCACAGAACATTATGGAGGATTTACAGATCTGGTAACCAAAACATAGCTATTCTTTCTCCCAGTATTTACATTCTGCAGTACCTGGAGAACACAAAGCAGCTCACCTCAGCCATCCGAGAGAAAGCCAGCAGCTTCCTTAAGAGCGGTGAGGAACATTTTAAAAAATAGCAAGACTGTTTAGTTGTTTGAATTTAGATAAAACTGGTTAACTTAAATAAGCTTTTTAACTATTATCAAATTGAACAGGATACCAGAGACAACTGAAATACAGGCATAGAAATGGAGCATACAGCACATTTGGCAATGGAAAGGGGAATGCATGGTAAATGCTGTGTTCATAATTTTGCTAAAACACTAGGGATGTAACGGTATTGTAAATACCGTCATACCGCAATATTATTTTTTTCGATATTATCGAAGTCGCATGACTCGGTAAAACTAAAGGTCTTCTAAGAAAATTTGCTCAGGCGAATGAAGCGAACGGGACGTAGCTAAAACTACATTTCCCATCAGCCCAGGCGTGGCCATAATCCTTTGCGGTCTGTTGTCGCTACAGATCCAGTAATGCGGAAATGGAGTGTGCTGCTAGTAGCGGAGATGAAAAAAAGATGGAAATGATCGAACCTAAAGCGGGTGTTGTCGCCGCGCGCGTGCTGAATAGTGGTGCTGTCGCGCGCGTTCTGATCAGCTGTGTTGTGGCGCGCGTATTGTAAAGCGCCGAGGGGGGGTTGAGCGCGCATATTCAAGAGAGGTGTTGTCTCGCGCCTACTGAAGGGCTGGATTGGACGGAGGTTGTGTCCCGTCGCGGGGGCACTTTTGATCGTTTTGGAAGGGCATTTTCTATCCAAGACTAAAAAGGGCATGTGCACTGCACAGGTTGAGCCATATGTGTGCACGTGCCTGCAAGTTGGGGAATACGACTAATAACAGTCATGGGGACTGCAGAAACACAGCACACTGTTCAGATTGATGCAGACATTGACTTGTACCGCAAAGAGATCTCTATCTCACTCATGGTTTGTCTTCTCAAGTGGGGGAAAGACAATGCACAACGTTACCCCACTGCTGTCAACCTGGGCCAAGTCATATCTCTCTTGTCCCAGAAACCTCAGTCCCAAATGAGAGGGTTTTTTTCTGTTGCAGGGGACATTGTAAATACCCAGAGATACCAGCTTTTACCAGATTATAATTATATGATAATTTTCCTTTAAACCCATCTCTATCTAAGTGAGTGAGTGATTACATGTTGAATGTGATGAGTTTTCAACAATACTAAATTGAAACTTTATTTTTTTACATGGTTTAATAATTTTTTGTTATTAAAATTGAAGTTAGTGTTTCAAAGCTTACAGATAGATGGCTAATTTGTATGTCATTGACACTTTTGGCACTTTTTTGGAGTATTTTCAAAAGTTTTTTTTCCTGTAAATGATTCAATAAATACCGTACCGTGACATTCATACCGAGGTATTACCGAACCGTGAAATTCTGATACCGTTACATCCCTATAAAACACACATTAATATGGTACAATTATATAAATTACATTACGTTAATATAAATACAATTATAACCCTAAGTGAGTGGTAAATAAGAAATAGAAAAAAATGCTTGCTTAGCAATTAATGATGGATGACTTTTTAATATTAAATCCTTCACACCACCAGGTTGACTGCCTTTGTCCTGAAGTCTTTTGTCAAAGCACAGAAATACATATATATAGATCCACAAATTATTAAGAGTGCAAAGAAGTGGTTAATAGGTACACAGGATCCAGAAGGCTGTTTCATCCAGCATGGAAGACTATTCAACAACAGACTGAAGGTTTGTCAACTCACTGCCACAATAAAATGTGCATTACTATAACTCTGGAGGTCACATGAACCATTCCTTTGACACCATCATATTGGCAGGCAGGAACCGTCATAAATGAATACAAAATGTATGGGACCAGCATTAATTTTAAGACAACAGAGCTCACTGTGAACTTTAATTGATATAATGTGTTTCATTGATAAAATGGACAGCTTTCCTGACTATGATTAACATCTTTACAGATATTAAGAAATTTAATGCTCTAGAAGAAAACAAGATACAATAAGAGCTGTTACGATTTTAAAGATGGTGAGTCAAGGGGAAGGAGAGTAACATTAATTTTGGTGAAATCAACAAGTGAGTGACAAAATACCAAGACTAACAAAATGCAATAAAATGAGTTTATTTACAAAGATGGTGATAATAATAAATGCAAAAACATGTATATAGAAACAACAATAAATGTTTACAAGGATATATTGAAATTTACAGACAACAAATGGGACAAAAGATGTTTGAACAGATTGATGAGAGAGTTGGAGAGATGAGACGCGGGCGGCATCCAAACAATAGAAATAAATAAAACAAAACAATCTATTGGCCCAACCGCTACCCTAACTATCCAAAAGAAAAATACAGCAATTATCGTAAAGAAATCTTCGCGTCTATTACGCACTACCTAACCTACTCTAATATATACTATGAGAAAACAAAAGTACAGTGGGTGGAGCACGCCCCGTGCCTAGTGTGTCTAATAACAGCGATAATCAAAACTACATGTGCACAATGTATGTCAAGTGACATTCTTACCTGTCCCACTCTCCAACCTCAGATGTGCATAACACTGACGGTAGACAAATAGAGAACACACACATAACAACGGACAAATAACAAATTGTAACACACTGAAAACAGATTGCAATTTCACTGACACACAACACAACACAGAAATTCAGGGCCTCTCGAGTAGCGTCCTGTCAGCACTTTTATACCACGGTGGCAGCGGCTGGATTGCAGACGATGGGTGATGTCAGGGAGGAACATGGCAAACAGCTGGGCGGTGGTAGCCACTCGGAGCCACTGTATGGGTGAAAGTGGGAGAGAGGGAGAGAGCGAGTGAGCACAGGAAGAGAGAAAGACTAGCGAAAATAATAATAATAATCACGCAACACAGAAATGTACAGGAATGTAACAAGAGCCCAGAGTGAAAACGTTTGAACAGATTTCAAAATTGTTCTAATTGTGTTGAAACATATATTGTATATTCCATTTAGTTCTGCCCAGTGGAAGCAACAGAAAATATTAGGCACCTTTTTTTACACCTTTTCCAAATTTACATTTTAGCACTTTGCCCAAAGCCTAACAATAAATCACTGTCATTTACAGCCTTAAAAGTAATTTACTACCATCTTAAATGTGCCACCTTTTATCTTATATTTATGTTAATTTTATGCATTGTTCACTTATAAAGCAGTAATGCATTTTGTCTTTTTCAACTGAAACTAAAGGGCACAGATAGATTAAAAAAAGACACATACACAGACTCCAAACACTTTTACCCTCTAGCTGTTACTGCACAAGATGTCCTTCTGGAGCATCAGTTAGCATTTACAGCTTTTCTTTCAAAGACCAGTTGAAACAAATGTAGAAAATTAAGTTGACTAAGATGGCACATTTGCAACAAGTGCGTTTGATTTTATCACTGTTAAATATTTCACACTCAGCTGTTGTAGCATTATTTACTTTAAACACAACATGAGTTCATGTGTGAATAATGGCTAAGTTAAATATTTACTAATACTTACACTGCTGTGTTTAAACTTAAAGATCATGTACGTCCATCTAGTGTGTTTACATTAAAAAGCAATGGAAAAGTAAAAAGTGTTCATAAAGTGTAAATAAAGTAACATTAAGTTTACATATTAATTCAACTGACCTTTACTTATATAGCACTTTTACAATGTAAATTGTGTCAAAGCAGCTTCACATAGATCATAGTAAATTGAAAAAGTGTACTTCAGTTTTCAGTAGGGTTGGGTAGAATTTGGGTTTTTTTCGATACCAGTGCAAAATCGATACTTTTAAAATGATATCCCTCAAAGCTGTTTAGAATGAAACATTTAGAGATGGTATGACACAAAGCGTACTTATGTGTGTCTTTGATGCACCCCTTATTGCTTCTTAAAGGTGGCACACAGCAGATGTCCCGCTCAGAGCTGCGGCACGGCGCACACATGACAGTTGATAGTATCACACACCAGAAGTGCACGTAAAATATTCAGATGGCCCTTTGTGGCGTGGCAGAAATATGAACAGTCACGAGTCTTGGCTGGGTGCCTCGGACAGCCGCTGACTTGCAAATTCTACAATATATGGCGCTGCACGTCACTTCTGGTGCACGACCTGCTTTACGTTCTTGTTGCAGCATCAGTGGCACCAGAATATGGCACTGAAATTCATATGCTGATTTGATACGGTGCATACCGGTTCCGTTTCAGTACCCAACCCTAGTTTTCAGTGTTTAAGTTCAGTCTAGTTCAGTTCAGTGTGGTTTAATACTCACTATTGAGAGTCCAAATACTGAAGAGCAATCCATTGATGCACAGCTCTACAGATCCCGAACCATGCAAGCCAGAGGTGACAGCGGCGAGGAAAAAACTTCATCAATTGGCGAATTTGAAGAATTAAAAAACCTCGAGAGAAACCAGGCTCAGTTGGGCACGACCATTTCTACTATGGCCAAACGTTTTGTGCAGAGCTGCAGTCTAGGCGCCGGAGGCTGGAGAATGCTGGACCTCAGCGAAGACTTCTCTGTCCCTGGAGCGTCTCATGCTCTTCACTCCTTCAAGACCACCACAGCAGCTGCTCAGGATACGGCCTGGTCCAGGATTATGGAAACCTTGGGATCATCTCATCACTGGTCTTGGATCGAATCAGTGGCACTGCATAGTCTGAGGGCCTCAGGATGAGTATCCCCAGGTGGAAATAGAGAATAAAGAGAATAATTAGCGTAGCTGCTGTTCATAGTGTATATAAACAAGCGTGGGGCACATCCATGTATTATAACACTAAGTGATGCACTGAGTGTATGCTTTACTAAAATGATAGGTCTTTAATCTAATTTTGAACTGCGAGAGTGTGTCTGAGCCTCGGACATTATCAGGAAGGTTATTCCAGAGTTTAGGACCCATAAATGAGAAGGCTCAACCTCCTTTACTCACTTTTGCTATTTTAGGTACTACCAGAAGCCCTGAGTTTTGAGATCTTAAAGAGCAGGTTCGATTGTAGCGAGAAAGGAGGTTGGTTAGATAAACAGAAGCTAGATTATTTAAAGCTTTATAGGTAAGAAGTAATATATTACAGGAAACTTAACAGGCAGGGTGATATGATCATATTTTCTAGACCTGTTAAGAACTCTGGCAGCTGCATTTTGTACTTCTAGAAGTTTGTTAAAAGAGGATGCTGGGCCACCAGCCAACAGTGCATTACAGTAGTCCAGCATCTTTTTCAGCAATATTAGCGTCAGCAATATTTCTCAGATGAAAGAAGGCAGTTTTTGTGACATGCGAGATATGATTTTCAAAAGTTTAATTGTTGTCTAATATGACACACGATTTTTTATAGTAGAGCTAATGCTAACTTTGTATGCCTCTAATTGCAGGTTGAGTTGTGAGATCTGCTGTGTACAGGATTTAGGCCCAATAAGTAATAATTCTGTTTTGTCTTAAGAGAAGAAAATTGTTGGCCATCCAGTCTTCAATGACTCAGTTAGTTCAGACATCTCATCAGGTTTAGTTGAAATATATAATTGAGTATCTGCATAGCAGTGAAAGCTGATCCCATGTCTTCTAATAATGTTTCCCAGGAGTAACATGGATATTGTGAACACCAAAGAGCCTAAAACTGATACTTGAGACACCCCATACTTTACTGAGCTGACTTGTGAAAGCTGCCCATTAATATTCACAAACTGGTAACAGTAACTGGTCAGCTAAGTATGAGTTAAACCATTGTACAGTCTGTGGACACCTTTAGAATTTAAGCGATTTATGAGGATATTGTGGTCGATAGTGTCAAATGCGACACTAAGATTGAGTAAAATTAATAGCGAGATGGACCCTTGGTCAACAGTTAAGAGTAAATCGTCATTAATACATCATTATTCATGTATTGTTATTGTAAGGTGTTACCAGCCTTGACAAGACTGCAAATGTTACAATTCTTTTGTTATATTTAGAATTTTTCACATCAATTTTTTTCTATATGTATATTTCTTTACTAGATTGTGGTGCTTTATTTACCGCTGTTTCTCCTCTATCATAGGGTGGAGTCAGTGATCATGTGACAATGACGGCCTACATTACTGCATCACTGCTTGAACTGGAAACTTCAGTCACAGTAAGTTCATCTCCAGGAAACACAGTATAAACCAGACATGTGATCAGCCGAGGACAAAAAAAGAAGGAAGACGAAACGAGATAAAACAGTTTATCATTTTTCTTTTCCTTCAGCATGCTTTTTAGTGATTTTTAATTTATTATAAAATAAACTTTAATAAATTGGTGTTATTTATTCATTGTCTTGTCGGCTTAGTCCCTTTATTAATCCGGGGTCGCCACAGCGGAATGTATCGCCAACTTATCCAGCAAGTTTTTTCCAGCCCTTCCAGCCGCAACCCATCTCTGGGAAATAAATTGGTGTTATCATCTAAACAATTACATAACAATTTCAGGTATTAGATTTCAGGTGCTAGGCTGTGGCGCTGAAATAATAAAGATATCGGGCCCTATCATAAACCCGGCGCAGTTCGGTGCAAGGCGCGGCGCAATAGTCTTTTGGTAGTTTCAGCTTGGCGCAAGAGTCGTTTTGAGGCATTGCGCTACACTGTTTAAATAGCAAATGCATTAGCGCTCATTTGTGCGCCCATAGGCGTTCTAGTCTAAAAGGAAGGCATTCTGAGGCGTACCGCTGGCGCGTTGATATTTTGAGAATCTATAATAAATTTTTCATTAGACCAAAACTAACCGTCTAAACTCAGGCGCAGAGTTGCGCCTCACTTACGCACTGCTTAATACGCACAAGAGAGCAATAGGCAAATATCTTTACATATTAAAAAATGTAAATATTAAGGATATATATAGGATATAATAAGAATAGATATAGGATATAAATATAAAGGATTAAAATATTACAAAACATATTATTTTCTAGCCTAAATAAATATGAAAAATCACTGCTTTTATGTCTTCTTCATGTCGGTAGGCTTTTTCAGTTCATTCATAACAATTTGCTTTTGTATATTTGCTTTTGTTATTATTATTAGCAGTATTATTTATTATATCCATATTTATATTTGTTTTATTAAAAACAAGCTTAGATTTGCCCACCTGTCAGGTTTTAGACCATATGGGGCACATTTAGGATATAACTCAGGTTTTTGAGCACATTTTGTTATTATTATTCATTTATTTGTTTGCTGGAAATTAGAACTGAATTTAGAAATAGTTTTGAAACGAATATTTGCGCTTAACAAACAAAAGTATTTATTTATAGACTAATTGATGTCTGTGCGTAAAGGTTTCCCTATCCAAGAGCGAATGTGAAAGTAGTTCCATTATCTCTCATTCTCACACAGTAGATGCTCTGTTTAACAGTTTTCTGTTAAAAAACTGTCAACTGTTTGCTTGTAAAATGTTAATTTTTTCCACTTAGACTTACTACGCGTCATGTAAATAGCGAATGCGCTCTTGGCGCGATGCAGCTGACTCTTAAAGGGAATGGGAGATGAGACTCTAATTGGTTTATTCTCAAAACACACCTATAACTCATTAAGAAAATAAACTCAACCCTTTTAGACCATGCGCCACGGCGCAAGGCAGATTTCCCGTTCTTAAATTAGCAAAAACACGTCCTGACATGCCCTGAAAGGGTTTGCGTCCTGCGTTTTGCGCTCTGCGCATAGACCGTCAAAATAGAGCCCATCAGGACAGATGACTGGCAGAGGATGATAACAAAAGTGCGTCCTGGCTTTATTATTAATGTAGATAAAGCGGAAAAAATGAGCGTGGAAAAAGTGAACAGCCGCACACGCATTCAAAGCGATTTCATGCACATTATAAGACTGCACAATATTATTATACCTGAATGACGTCCAAAATGAAGCAGTTAAAGGTGCAGTAGGCGATTGTCTTTAGAAGCATTTTTTGCAGTGCTGGTAAAAAGTCTCTTCACAGTCCAATAGTAATGATTACAGTAAACAGGGGCGCCTGCAGGATTTTATTCCAAGGTACGCACAAATCCAGCACCGCCCCGCCCTCTTCAGATGGCTGTTATTTCAGTATTCAAACGTTAAATAACGAATGCATCAAGTAAAATAAAAATGAATATATATTTATAATTCAGCTAAATTCTGCTCTTTTAATCTTTGATTTTTTATTATTTTATTTTTGTTAGTTTTAATATTTTATTGTATTCATAATTAAAGCTATAGACAAAATCCTGCATGACATTTTAGAAAATGTTTTTCGTATCTACCCAGTATGTATTAAAGATCACTGAGAACAAAAAACAAACAAAAAAACACAGAAACATGTTACATGCTCCCATAAATGTCCAAATTATATTTAACTGAATCGTTAAAAAAATGTGAAAATTGCTCAGTTTATTTTTATAAAACATTTTATTATTTTTTTTAATTAAAAACTATACCGACAATTAAGAATCCATTTTTATTTTATTTATTCATTAATTTGACCTGTTTATTGGTGCATATATAGGCTATAATTTAACTCGTACAACAATACCTTGGACAGCTACAGTGCCACTAAAGCTTTCAAACATAACCCCAATAAAGTAATGAAGGATTAGACTTTCTCTGGAGACTCATCACGCCATAATCGTCCTTCTGGTGGTATAGCCGGCATTAAATCACAAAACAAGACGTCTGGCTTGACTAAAGTGCAGTTATTTCCTCGTTGTCAAAGAGTCTGCAAGTTCGTGTTACTTGGATATAGTATTTAGCTATAGGATTGTGAACATCAATATTGTTAAGCGTGTCTTTATTCGATGCACAGCAGAAAAAAAAGTATTTCAGCAGTGCATGTAGCTGTTGGTTAAGTTCTCTCCCGGAGTCAACTGTAACAACTGTAACCATACCCAAGTGTTCTCAGAACGATTTGGCACGATAGTGGAAAAGCAGGCAGCTGCAGTGTATACTATTTAATAATCAATTTAAATTATGTCACATATAAATAAATAAATAAATAAATAAATAAAAAGCGGCATTAAATCCCACCCTCTCATGGTAGGTATGCACAGTGCGTACTGCCGTACGGCTGCAGGCGCCACTGACAGTAAATGATCTAAATGTATTTATATGTATTTTTATTTTTTGGGTAAGGCATAAAACTAAAACATGTTCATCCAATTAAATATTGTCTGGTCGACATCCCCCATAATTCTGATAATTAGCCGAAGCTGTCAACAAATGCAGATTTAGACTTCTGCGCATCTCTGTTCACACATATCCGCCATTAACATGTGTATGTGGGCACGCCTGCATGCACACCGCACATTCACGACGGATGCACATGAGACTGTCATAGTCGCAGTAAAATCAAATGCTGAGTTTAAACAATATTGGAGTTACTTTTGCACGCTGTAGGAAGGACCACACCATGGCTGAAGTACCTCGGTTAGACTGGTAATGTTCTGTTTTAAAACTATTTTAGTCCCCCAAAGCTGTATGTAGAGTGTGTTAGGTTATGAATGGGTTATATGCACAGTGTGTATACAGTGTTGTTTAGCCACTGAAATCTTCTGACGAAAGATTTATGTAATTATTTTTTAGTTTCATAAGGGGCCTTTGACAACATCAATAATGTGAATTTTTATTTAGTTTAACAACAAATCATCAGTAAATAGCTTTTAGCTTTTCGGCCTATCCAGCTTTACTGAGCTGAAGTAGTTTTATATTCACATTGGTTCATTTTTGAACAATGCGGCCTCCCTATACTGTTTAACATGCTACTCTGAATATTCGCTCAGAAATAGCATGTAAGCGTGGCTTAGTAATAAGTGAAATTCCTGCACGTCGCCGGCCAAAGACTAACTACATTTTTAACTGGCGAATGACATGAACTAGTGGGTTGTCTGCTGTCGTGTCGCGGTGCACGCGTTCGTGATTTCAGGAGCGGTGGCTTTGGAACAGTCCCTCCCCTGCCGTCCAAAGATAATATGCTAACCAGTTAGCAATTTGGCAGATCATCTACTGCACCTTTAATGCCTCTTCTTGTGCACAATGATGAACAATGAAGGCGATTAGGTTTTCTGCTTTGATAATGATGAACCTCACTGAACCCCACCTCCCTCACAAAAAACTTTTGTTTTCCCCAAATAGGGCCCACTCACACTATGCTATCCGAACTATAAATTTGAATCGGGAGTACTCAGCACGGGCTTTGTCGCCGTACGCTTGTGTGTGAGTGCAAAACGTGCCTGAGCCCAAAACTGAAAGCGAGACGTGACTTTTAAGGGACTGTTTCATATGGATTAATTAATCATTCTTACTGTACAGTGAACGCAAACTGTCACAGTTTATTAAAGATGCAAACCCCTCATTGCATGACAGCTGCGCACCCTCAGCAAACCTGCTACTTCCTGCAGCGCGAGGATTTTATGATTGTTTATGAGCGGGAGATGGGAGGGGGAACAAGTGTGCTTTGGCCCGTTTCAAGGCAACTGTATATAGTGTGAGTACGCTTTAACAGAGGTCGCCCCATTGAGCTCGGAAATACAGAAATCCATATTTATACAGAATAATCCCATCCCTGATAAACTCATGAGAAAATGACACTCGCAGCATCTGTTTGTGTCTCAGGATCCTGTCATCATTAAAGGTTTGTCATGCTTGAGGTCCGTCATCAAAGACGTCAAAAACACTTACACCACTGCTCTGCTGGCCTACACTTTCAGTCTGGCTAGAGACACCAACACTCGACAGCAGCTTTTCAACAAACTGGAGGATCTTGCTATTTCAGATGGTAAGAGATTGCTTTCTGATGACTTTCTGCACTGCACTGTTGCTTTTGTCCTGCTGGTTGAGTTTGTCTTTTGTGTCCTAAAGGTCCTCTTGTCCACTGGTCTCAGTCTGCATCTGCTGATGACTCTGATTCTCTGGATGTGGAGATCAGCTCATATGTGCTGCTAGCTGTTCTCACTGCAGATTCACTCACTACAGCTGATCTGGGCTTTGCTAACAGGATTGTCAGCTGGCTTGTGAAGCAGCAGAATGCCTATGGAGGATTCTCCTCCACACAGGTTCCTCAAATCAAACACATTATTGCTGAATAGCTAAAATTGTCACATGACTGAACTCATTTCTTTCCCAGGACACAGTGGTGGCTCTTCAGGCTCTGTCTTTGTACGCCACCAAAGTGTTCAGCTCTGACGGCTCCAGCACAGTGACTGTACAGTCAGCAGGAGACTCTCACTACTTTAATGTCAATCAAGACAACAAGTTAGTCTACCAGGAGAAGCAGCTGGCCAATGTGCCGGGCAAATACAAAATTGAAGTCAAGGGCTCAGCCTGTGTGTCTGTGCAGGTTTGTAGTTTCAGCTTCTCCTTTTCTTTGAATTTTGGGGCTATTCTGCTTTGAGATTTTCTTATGAATGTGTTTGTCTGTTTTGACTCTCTCAGATGGCTCAGTTCTACAACATTCTCACTCCTAAAGAAGTTAAAACATTGAGCATTGATGTTAAGATTGAGGGAGACTGCAAGAAAACCTTTGGAAATAAACTATTGTTAGAATTCACTGTGAAGTACGAACATAATTGGATTTTATTGGCTTTAATAATTACTTCTAGAAAGATAACAAATATTTGAGTGATAGAAATTCTTAATTAGTTTTTAGTAACTGTTGTCAATTTTTTATACTATTTGTACTATTATGTTAGGGGTTTTCTTTTATTTTTTCAGTTATGATGGTCCTCATGAAACAACCAACATGTTGATTGTGGATGTTAAACTCTTATCTGGATTCACAGCTGATGATACAACAATGGTGTGTTTGAGTGTAAAGTAGGGATGTGTAACCTGTATATGGTGATAGTGGTGTTAAATTATGATATTAACTATGAAATCATAGGTGCAATGGAATTAAGTGTGTAAGTATTAAGTATGCAGTATTAAGAGATTGGCCTGCTCTTTTTCTTCACAGTTTGGCAGTTCTTCAGGTTTTTATGTACCACTTGTGGAGCAGGTCGATTATAAAGACGATCATGTCATTGTGTATCTGAAGGAGGTGAGAGAACATTAAAATGACAAAGTAATTTAACAATTTTAATAATCTTCTACTCCAGGGTGGTTGAATTCATGTATTTTTCAATGTTCTCATTCATGACAATAATTATTATTTGTAAATCAAATATGTTTTTCTATTTATGTCAGTCCTCAATTTAAATGGGGATTTAAAGTAAAAAAGGTTGAGATTCACTTCTTTATAAACACTTTATTTATAATGCGCATGATTAATAAAGTGGTGTTTATCTGCAGGTCCCCAAACATTTTCCTGTGAATTACCAGATACAAATGAAACAGGTTCTACATGTGATGAATCTCAAGCCAGCTGTGATTAAAGTGTATGATTACTACCAAACAAGTAAGAATTTTATTTGCCTGCATTGAATATTTAAATTTGTTATGCTGATTTATTTGGGTTTATTCAGATTTAATAATATATATGAGTATATATATATATATATATATATATATATATATATATATATATATATATAAGAATATATATAAATGTATGCTGTATGAATGATCAAATCCTCTTTTTTCATCAGGTGATCAGTCAGAAACTGAATACTACTTCCACTGTTAACGAAGCTGCGCAAATAAAGCTTGAATTCAAATGTATATTTGTTTATTCTTTATCCTGGGCCAAATTATTCCCAATCCATTAGTATGAATGTGAACAGACTCTCAAAACCTGTGAAACTCTGTGGCTAGTCAAACCACAAAAGATATGATTATTAAAAAATGACTGAATAAACAAGTTATGCCCTGTGTGTTATTTAATACATGTATCTTTGTATTTCAAAATCTTTTGATGTAGTCATCTTTACCAACTTTTTCTATCTCATAGGACAGATTGTTATATCATTTAGAGTGTTGCTCAGTAGCGGAAAGCGTCATAGCTGGGTAAACTTTGAGTGCAGTGAATCGGACAGTACAACAAATAGTTTTTTTACAACTCTATTTGCTAAAACAATAAAAGAAAAAACTCCACTATAATGTTATCAAGACTTTCAGAAAAAGATTTAAAATAGTGTGAGACATATGAGGGCAGAGCAGAGAATAACGGCAAATTTACTCTCAGCCCCATAGACACTGCACTAGAAACACCTCGCATAAGCGGTAATTTGTTTTTTACATTTGGCGCGAAGGTAATTTAACGCAATAATACATGCATATTAGTGTTCATACATTTAAAAAATATATAAATATTAAAAACATTCAAGGATTTTAGATTATGATGCCCGTTAAACGCACCATAACAGTATTGTGAAAAGGGTCCATTGGTCACTAGTTTACAGTAACTTGCTGAGTGGCCATTCAATATCTGATTTCTGACTCTTGATTTCAGTGCCCTCATTTGTTAATTCAAGGAGGCAAGTACCCTGTTTTTTGTGCATATTTAAATTACATGGGTCAATTTTATAACTAGATCAGAATGCTGATGGATAAAAAACATTTCTCCTATTATTTTCTATATATTTTTTAAAGGGTCCTGTGTCTGTTATGACAAAGTTGAGCTTCACTACTTTCACTACTTCTCCTACTTAAAGATAAGAAAATGATGTTAGGTTAGGCAAGGCAGGTCAAGTTAATTTATATAGCACATTTCATACACAGTGGCAATTCAAAGTGCTTTACATAAACAACAATAAAAGACAAGTATAAGAAAATAAACAAAAACAAATAATAAAAATGACTAAAACCATTAAAATGTGTTAAAACAGGTTATAAAAGAGAATAAAAGAAAAGAAAGAAATAGTATTGTGATCTGTCGGACGTAGCACAGTGCTCATTCGGTAAAGGCACAGCTAAACAGATGTGTTTTGATTTTCTCGATTTGAATTTGCCTGATGTTGGAGCACATCTTATCATTTCTGAAAGCTGATTCCAGCAGCGTGGAGCGAAGAAGTTGAAAGCAGATTTAGCCTGCTTTGACTAAAGGCTTGGAATTTCTAGTTAATTTAATCCTAAAGATCTGAGTGGTTTGTATTCAGTGAGCATATCTGTAATGTATTGAGGTCCTAGGCCATTTAGTGATTTATAGACAAGTAATAATACTTTAAAATCTATTCTGAATGTAACTGGGAGCCAGTGTAAAGACCTGAGGACAGGTGTGATAGGGTCTGATTTTCTGGTTCTGGTCAGAATCCTGGCCGCAGTATTCTGGATGAGCTGTAACTGTCTGTCGTTTTGGGAAGACCAGTGAGGAGGCCGTTACAGTAATCCACCCTACTGCTGATAAAAGCATGAACAAGTTTCTCTAAGTCCTCACTGGAAACAAAGCATCTGATTCTTGCAATGTTTTTGAGTATATAGTATGCTGATTTACTAACTGCTTTCCAAAGACTATTGAAACTTAGATCTGATTCCAGAATCACACCAAGTTGTTGTTTGCTAGTTTCAGCTTGCTATTTTGAGAAACTTTAATAGACTGTTCTATAGACCAGAATAGAGCTGGTCTACTGTCCAGCGCAGAGCGCGTTAATTGTGCGCCTTGCTTACACATTGCTTAATACAAACAGGATGTAGAGCAATATGCAAATATCTTTACATATGAAAAAGAATTAAAATATTAAGGATATATATAGGATATAAATATAAAGAATTAAAATATTACAAAACATTATTTTCTAGCTTATATAAATATGAAAACCATACATTCATGCCTTCTTCATCTCGGGGGGCTTTTTCAGTTTATTCACAACAATTTGCTTTTGTATAATGTTATTATTATTAGCAGTATTATTTATTATATGCATATTTATATTTGTTTTATTAAAAACAACCTTAGATTTGTCCACCTGTCAGGTTTTTTACCATATGGGGCACAGCATGTGTATTTGGATATAACTATAAGTTTTTTGAGCTCACTTCGTTATTAATGTTCATTTAGTCGTTTGCTGGAAATTAGAACTGAATTTAGAAATAGTTTTGAAACAAATCTTTGCGCTTAACAAACAAAATTAATTATTTACTGGTTAATGGATGTCTGTGTGTACAAGAAGTTTCCCTATCCACGAGAGTGAAAGCGAAGTAAACAATGAGGAGGCTCATTTCTCATTCTCGTGCTGTAGATGCTCTGTTTAAGTGTTGTCTTGCTAGTGAAGCGTTCAGTTTTTCCACTTACAAAGTCTGTCATGTAAATAGCAAATGCGCTAAGGTGCGACGCAACTGTCTCTTAAAGAGAATGGGAGATGAGACTCTAATTGGTTTATTCTCAAAACTCACCTATAACTCATTAAGAAAATAAGCTCAACTCTTTTAGACCATGAGCCATGGGGCAAAGTAGATTTTTTCATCCTTATATTAGCAAAAGTGGATTCTGACACGGCCTTAATGCGTTTGCGCCATGCGCTTTGCACTTTGTCAGGGATCGTCAAAATAGAGCCCGAAGATTCTTGACCTTATTTTTTGTAATTTGACCTTTAGAGCCAAGGTACGCATTTACCTTGAGAACCTCATCTTTGTTCCCAAATGCAATGACTTCAGTTTTTTTGTTTAATTGAAACAGTTTTGGCACATCCAACTGTTAATTTCATTAATGCATTGGCAGAGGGTGTCAGTGGGGCTGTAGTCATTAGGCAGTAAGGCTGTGCAGATCTGAGTGTCATTAGGACAGCTGAAGTAGGAAATTTGGTTCTTTCTCATTATTTGGCTTAGAGGGAGCATATAAAGGTTAAACAGCAGAGGTGCCAGAATCGACTCTTGTGAGACTTCACATGTCATGGGTGTCCACCTCGACCTATTGTCACCTATACTGACATGGTAATCTCTACCTTCAAGGTAAGATCTGAACCATTTGAGGACCGTGCCAAACAGCCCAACCCAGTTTTCCAGCCTATCCAGAAGTATGCAGTGATTAACAGTGTCAAATGCGGCACTGAGATTGAGCAGTACCAGCTCTGTTAGTTTACCTGAATCTGTATTTAGGCGGATAAAACTGATTATCTATATAAAAGCGCTCTCTTTACTGTGATGTGGTCTGAAACCAGATTGACAATTGTCTAAACACCCCTTGAAGTTTAAGAACTTGTTAACCTGGTTAAAAACAACTTTTTTCAGTAATTTTGCATATGCAAAGGAGATTTGAGATTGGCCTGTAATTGCTCAATAGGTATTGTCCAGGTTTTTCTTTTTCAAGAGGGATTTAACAACTGCAGTTTTAAGTGAGTTTGGAAAAATCCTTCTGCGAAGTGAAGCATTTTCCACTTTTAGAAGATCAATTTCTAAACAGTTATTCACCGTTTTGAAGAATGATGTGGGGAGCGTGTTAAGACTGCAGGTTGATGTTTTCATAATTTGCACGGTCTCCTCTAAGATGTTATCATTAATTGTCATAAAAATCAGACATAATATCAGATTTCTTAAGTTGTGGTTGAGCTTATCTGACGTCGACACAACTTGGCTGATTGGATGAGCTGATTGCCTTTCTGATATTATTAATCTTATCAGTCAGGGAAATGAGCAAACTCGTTACATTTGCTTTTAGAGTACTTCACTGGGAATCCGACTGGTGGTGGAGAGGGGTTGTGAGTCTCTCTATCGTTGCAAAGAGAGTACGAGAATTATTTATGTTGCTGTTTATAAGGCTTGAAAAGGAAGTCTGTCTGGCAGTGTTTAGTTTGCATTAAAAGCATGAAGACATTATATGTCTTTTCATCATTTAAATTGCTGTTGATTTTCTCCAAGGTGCTTTCTGTCTGCCAGCCATCTTCCTGAATTTAACAGGAGCAATGTCATCTATGACATTCTTAACTTTAGAGTTAAACATATCAAGGAGAGAATCAACAGAGGCTGCAGATATGCTTGGTTCTAGCGATATGGCCTTCATAAACTGCTCACTAGCTTTCTCATTTATGCATCTCTTTCTGACAGAAACAGATCTGTCTTTAATAGCTGGAGTGATCAATATATTAAAGAAAATACAGAAATGATCAGTGCAACATCCTCAACAACACTCAATGAAATGTGTAAACCCTTAGTTATAAGTAGATTAAGTGTGTTCGCGATGTGTGTGGGTCCTCAAACATGCTGAGTTAGATCAAAAGTGTTAAAAACAGTCATGAGTTATTTAACAGCATTGATTTCAGGATTATTAATGTGAATATTAAAATCCCAAGCAATAGTAAAATAGTCAATTAAAGAGGTTACTATTAGAGGTCTGATTTGGTAGCTGAGCTAAACCAGACAGTTATTGATGTGCAGATGACTGATTCAATGATGGAGGCGTAGAACTGTTTCAGCAGCTGCTTTGGGAGGTTAAACTTCCTCAGCTGATGGAGAAAGTACATACTCTATTGAGCTTATGTCGAATAGTTCGGACTGCTGAGCGAATCATTGGTACAACCCTGCCTACTATCCAAGAACTGTACTTATCCAGAGTGAGCAGAAGGGCTGCCAAAATCACTCTGGACCTCTCACACCCAGCACACTGCCTCTTTGAACTGTTACCTTCTGGTTGACGCTACAGAGCACTGCACACCAGAACAGCCCGACACAGAACCAATTTCTTCCCTCAGGCAATCCATCTCATGAACACTTGATAATAATAATTGTGCAACAAACATTACTACTTGCCAAACACTTTTATACACATTTACACTTATTTGACACACTTTACATGCCAAAATTGCAAATAATAGCTGCACATATAACATTGTAAATAGTAATACAGCTCTACATACACTTGTCTATTTGTATATTTGCATTCCCTACTTACTGCTTTTTTATACATTTATAATCTGTTTGTTTGTTT